TTTTAAGCAAATCAATTTCGTTTATCCATAATTACAAGCTGTGTATAAATCTTGTGTAAAATGTAACACTTTAAATGATAATAATATAAAAATAATTATATATACATAAATTAAAATATTCTTATATAATTTGTTTTATAATGTATAAGGATTCTTTTTTATAAATAAATTTTTATGCTTTTACCATAGAAATAGAACTATAATTACAAATATCTCTAATAATTTTGTGTTCCACATGTAAAAATCATATATGTTTAATTTTTTTCTTATAATTTTTAGTAATATGCACAGGCTATAATATGTATAGTGTTTATAAATTTTACTAATTTTGATTTATTCTTTATCGTATTAAAAATTATATATAACTTATGTAAAATCAAGAATTAAAAACATATTTTATATTACATATATTAAAAGTTTAATATATAACATTATTTAATTCATATAAAACCAATAATACCAAAATTTTACATTATGACACAATTTTTTTTGTTTATTCTTATTTATTTCAAATATTCGTTGCAGCGTTAATATGTATTTCTTTATATATTATGCATTTATTAAAATTTTAAATTATTAATCCTTAAATTATGGTCTACTTAATAATATAATAAGGGTACTAAAAAATAAAAAATTGTATTCATAATTAAATAAAATCCAAGTTATCAATGTATTTTAATAGAGTTTTTTTTTTTTAATGTAAATATATTTTAAATATATATAAAATCTGAATTCTAGGGACAATAATATAGCATCATTAACTCATGTGTGTTTAATGATACATTGTTTTATATATACTAAAGAATTTACAAAATTAGATAAAATATTATGTTTTTATTTTGCCTGATATTTATTTAACAAAATATTTTTCTATATATTTATTTTTAGTGATATAATTTTGAAAATAAGTATTTAATTTAACACGTTATAAGTATTAATAATTTTTTTTCGAACATATAAAAAATATATTTATTACAATAGGAGTTGTAACAACATATTCATCAGTATATTATACAAAAATATTATATGTGTCCTTTTTGTATACATATAAAAGTATAGATTTTCCATGAACTACATGTAATTTTTAATTACAATATAATAGTGTGCTTTTGTTTTACTTATTCTAAAATTAATATTAATAGATAAATATGTTTATAATCATTTAAATTATTTCATTTTATATTATTGATAAATAATATATATTTATGTATGCTTTTAAATTATCGAAAAATAATTTATACAGTTATATTCACAAAAAATACATTTTAATATATAATGTGAGAATGATAAGTGGATATAATAAATCCTGAAAACATATACATTATTCTGTGGATGATAAATAGTATTTATATACAAAAAAAAAATTCGCCATAATAATATTAAAAAATAAATTTTAGGAAAATTTTATGAACAAATATAAAGTATAATATTATCTCTCTACTAAACTGTCTGAATATATTAATTTAATACTATATGTAAATAAAACTTTTTTTAACATGTTCATAATTTTATTATTAATATTTATTTATATATAATAATATAAAATTAATCTAATTAGTTTATTACATGATTATTTTTTTTGTGAATATCATTGATAAATATATTTGAATGAAAAAGAATTTATTTGCTATAATATACTCTACGAAGCAATAAATTAAATAAAATTTAATGAATATATATATAGAATTAATATAATATCATAATAATTAATATATTTTATATAATTTCATAACAGCACAAAAATTTCAATATAATAAAAAACACTATGTTCATATATTATGTTAAAATCATTATATTTATCCCTCTATCGTGAAAGTATTATCAATATTGTATGAATATTTATAATGATGTAAATAAATGCTTGTATATTTTTTAAAAGATAATATATATATTCATTCCGTAACACTCTGTATTTTCTGTACTAATTATGTGCTCTTTTTTCAAGAGTATATTTGGTAAATATTGTTATAATAAATACGATATTGAATAAATATTCATTATATAAACATATCGCATTCTTATAAAATATGAACCAAGCGCAGATGAAAATAAGTTCTATTTAATGTACAAAAAAACATGATAAGTAACAGAATATTATATTGTGATTAAGACGTATACAAAGGGAAAAAAAAAAAAAAAAAAAAAACAATATAAAAAATAATATATTTAGTGTTATTTTAATGAATTAAAAACAATTAATTTTGAATCAACTCTATAAAAAAATTCAATTATTATTTTGAATAAGAAATATTTTTTATTTTGAAGAATTAGCTAAGCTTAAATAAAATTGTTAAATTACTAATAATACATAAAATAACACCATATTGAGGTATATATATTAGTTTTTTTCTAGAAATCTTAATTATTTACATGGAATAATTTCTTGTAATTCTTTTATTATCTCAAAATAATAATAGATATTCTGTATAATATTTCATGTGTTCGAATATATGGAATTAGGGAATATGAATATTGATATATCTAGAGCGTTAATGGATGAAGAAAAACATATACAGCATCTAAATATATATAAGAAGTCAGATTAGCAAAACATAATGGTGTACAAATTCATTAGATACATGTAAAATTTACATAATCATATTTTTATATTACAGTAAAAGAAGAAATATTATAAAAAATAAAATTACAATATGAAAAATATATATATTATTATATTGATAAAGAAGTATTTAATATAAAATGTGTTATAGTATTCCTAATATTGTTATATTATAAATCAGTATGTTTGTAATTTTTTGAATTTCATTTAACTATATTCCCAAAAATATTATTTAAAAATGAAATTAAAGAATATTTATGTAATTTATTATAATTCCGTTAATGTTATATTATATTTCTTATATATTGTATGTTAATTTATTTGTTAAAATTAATATATTACGTCAAAATAAAACATCACTCACGTTTTTAATATTTTTTTAAATTATATTTTCTTAGTTCAATAATTCATCTACTCATTCTAGCTAAAAAAATATAGTTTTTATATATTTATATATATTTCTATACATTATATGTGGGTACTAATTTAAAGTTGATTTTTAAGGTTTTGAAGGATGAATAATTTTGCTGACACCTGAATTTAATTGAGATTAATTTGGTTAATATATATATGTTTTATTCATATTTTAAACACTATTATATAATGAAATTATTATATTTATTAATATTTCAATATTTAATCACTTCTAAATATATAGCTGTGAATTATGAACGATGTTAAGGTAAATTTCATTTAATTTAAAACATATTGAGTGCATTTCTCCTTTATATATCTATATATGAAATGTATCGTAAAGTATTTATTATTAATATTTTTACTATAATTATTTTTTAGGAAACAGATATTCTTTAATTTAACAAAATGAAATAGAGAGAAATCTTCTATATATATAGTTTTATTAATTAAAATATTTTATCTTTCTATTTTATATATTATAATTAAATAAATTTATACTTAACATTATTAATCTTATATGCTACTAAGAAGAATATAGCGTTATTTTATATATATATATATATATATATATATTAATTCTTATATATATGAGATAAGAAATTCAAACGAAAGTGTTAATTTTAATTATTTTTTATACATGCTTGCTTATATTTTTTTATGAAATATAACATTTTTTTATAATTTTCTTTAAAATATATTATATAATACGGCGTAGCATAAGCAATAATATATATAAATTATACGATATATATTTTTTTTATACAAATTATCTTTTGAAACCACATTAGTTCCTTTATATTTATTAAGGCTAATATGTATGCTGTATTATTTCGTTTATTATAATTATTTTTTCTCATTTTATATTTTATATATTGCATATAAGCATATTTATATTTTTAATTAATATTTATTTTTTTATTTTGTATTTTTTATTTGTGCAATAGTATAAATAGTATATTAATTGTGCTTTTATTATTTTTATGCTATAGATAATATGGTGTTTATCTTAGGACTTATGAATATATAACAGTATAATATGCATGCTAAATATAAAATATATATCTATACTTGTCATCTTTCTTTATATAACTATGTATAAAAACATAACAAAATCATAGAAATATAAATTAAAAAGAATGCAAATGTTATTTAGTGTACTCCATGTTTTATTTATATAATAGTTCTGTATTACAATTTAAGTTTAAAAATATATATATGTAATTTATTCATTCAATGTATACAAATAAAAAATACAAATTACTGCAGAATTGCATAAAAAACATAGGTGTACAACATTAATTAAGATGACGTAATAAAGCAAAATTGTAATACAACAAATAAATAAAATATAATTAACATAATTTAACATATAAATGAAATATAATTCTTGTCACAACTTATTGTAATAAAAATTATATATAATAAAGTTTGAAGTATTAATTTGTAAATTTTGATTCATAAGGTATTCTAGTATTAATGCATATAACAACTATTATAAATATTATTATATAAAAATATATACTTTGAGTCAATTTATTTAATTATTGTAAATGATAGTTCAATAATATTATATAAAAAAATAGAGTCATATATATAAATGAAATTCATAATACATGTGTTCAACTATTATCAGAATTACTAATATAAATTATAATTCCTTATTTGAATATATATGGTGTTATTATTTTATTTAAGTCATTGTTCTTTTAACATTATAATAACCTATTTATTATTACACTATAATTTTATAATAAGAATAACGGAAATTTTATTCTTATTATACATATTAACTCATTTTGCAATCACTGCATTTTTTATTATAGGTGGATTACTCATTAGAAGACTATTCTTATTAATTAGGGAAATTATATTTATTTTTTTATTTATTATGTTATATAAGTTATTCGAAATATATATATAATTATTAAGAAACAAATTATTTATATAATTTCATTATAGTTCTTACCATGTTGTTTAAATATAACATTTTTTTCGAATTATATGTTTAATGGAAAAATTATGGTTAATGATACCATATATTATGTTTGTATTTCGTTGGTGTACTGCTGAATATTTCATATTCTTGAAATCTATGTGTTTCTTCGTTTATATTATCTCTCTTATCTATTTTACTTTTTATTACATTTTTGCACCATGAACCAAATGCTGTAAACTAATTCATAAAGGAAAATTATATATACAAAATATATAATTTTTGCATGATAAATTTATTTTTTATATATCATTTAGAAAAATTATTTTCACACCATAAATATATGTAAATAATATATTAAATAACCCTATATAAGATAAATAAAAAAATAAATGTTAAGAATGTTATAATAGATGTTATTATTATAGGAGACAGTATATTTGTTTTGCACGGTGAAGGAGCTTCTAGCTCTTTAATTTCACTTGCTTGTGTATATATTTTTTCTTCGTATTGCATAACTATGCTTACTATTCCTTTAAAAATATCATCTGGATTAATTACTTCGCTTTGCTTATATAATTTTTTATACAAATTATATATATCTTTGATTTTCTGAAAATCATCATTTTTAAGAGGCGTCTTAGAAGGTTTACATAGTTTGTTTATGTATAGACCTCTTTTTGTAAATATTCCAATTAAGTGATCATAAACATTTTGTGTATCCATATTTCCTTTTATTTCTTCTTTAAGAAGATCATCATATATCCAATAATAAAAGTATTCACATCCAGCCATTTGTAAATTTTGATCTTGTCCATAATTTATATCACCTAAATAATTTATAGCTTGGATGCATATTCTTTCTGGTGTATATTTATCATTAATTAAATTTTTTAATATCCGTATATTATTGGCATCTGTACATAGTTGTACGTCTTTACCAGTTTCTCCAATAGTTTCAAACTGAACTGCATGTCCATCCAGCTTTTTTCTACACTCGGGAAACTTTTTTACAATATCATACTAAAAAGAAAATAAAATTAAAAGGGGGGAAATAAGTATATATTACTGAACTCACTTTTATAATATTTATCCATAATGAATTAAACAAATTATAAGGTTGTAATTTATATTATAATACATCAAACTAACAATAGATTTGTCCATCTCATATAATGCTGCAATTAGTTACTGGTAAATAATATAAAAATAATGAAATTTACTAAAAAGGATATATATATTTTAAAATAAGTTTATGTATAAGAAGAATCATAAGCATATGTTTTTATATAATTCTACTTTTTTTATTAATGTAAAATTTAAATGATTGAACATTAATTATTTACAGATTCATGAGATAGTTGTAATCATATAAAAAATATATTTGTTTTCTTAATTTTTTTTATTAAAAATTGTAAAGAACAAATACAGTGCTTAGAATGAATAAAAATAATATAGGTTTTTAAAATGTAATTATTATGTCTTGCAAATATATAGAAATTGTGAATTATACTAGTTTAAAAAAATAAATAAAATTTATATTTAATATTCATGTGTATTTTTATATTTGAAATTATATATAATTCCTTTTTTATTTGATTTATTTATCTTTTCATAATTGTAAATATAATTTATGGTGGAAAATAATTAGTACAATAAATGCTTACTACTGTTCATGTTGTAATAATTTCCCTATTATTATATAAAAAGAGATAAAATTTTACTAAAATGAAATGTATAAATTTATAAAATTCTTGCCTATGCAAGACACAAGATATATATAAACGATGTAATATATTAAAAAATTTTTTATGTTACTATTGTGGATTATGAATTAATATTTTATATATGTATATATATATTACACTATATATATACCTAGTATATCTATTTGTTAACATATATTACTCCCGAAGAATCAACATAATCACGTATCCACACATATATAAATGTATTAAAAAAATTAACATTAATTTTATGCTTCTTCAATTTAATTACTACAATACTATTGTTTATTTTTTTAGGAAACATATAAACATAAATATAAAATGACCTCAATTAACTTATTGTTTTTATTCTAAAATTTAATGTGTATACTTGCACTTTTAATTATACAAATTAAAGTATATTCATCAATTTACATTTTTATTTATTTTATATTTTCTTTTTTACTTTTAAACATTATATAAATTAAAATTATATCCACTATATATTCCTAATTAAAAAGTTTATAAGGTAGTCATAATTAACACATATAATATATAATGAATTTGTGTATAAAAAAAATGTTATAAAAATTGTTATTGACATTTGCGCTTGTTATAAATATAATAATGATTTTACTAAATAAATTTCTTAATTTTCTTAAATTATTGATACAAAATTAAAATTATATTGTTACACAGGTGCATAGTATATAAGTGCATCACAAATTAAATAGTTATATTATATAAGCGAAGTAGATTCTTTATTCCAAATTTTTTTCTTTGAAATAGTAATATTTCTGTTTATTAATTATAAGAAAAGAAATAATAATTATTATATATAATTAAGGTATTTGACATTACATAATATCAATAATATAAGATTAATTATTATTAAAACCGTTTCATGTTTCTTACTATATAATTATAACTAAATTACACTTTTATTTCCTCATGTTTTTTTATAATTGTTGCTAATTTGAAATAACACACAAATATATTATAAAAAAAATTTTATTTTTCAATATTCCAGTGTTAAATATTACTATATTTTTTTTAAAACACATTATTAATAATGAATAATTTTAATTATATATTATAAAAAGATATAGTAAAAGTATAATTTTTTATACATAATAATTATGGTTATACGAGCATACACAAAAGAATAACATAATTAAATAAAATTATATACAATAATATTGACATTACAAACATAAATAAACTAAATAGTATAATAAATGGAAAATAAACACATATTATAATACTATGCAATACGAAAAAAAATTAAAAACAAAACTAAAATGCTAATAAACTAAAGATATATTTGTAATAACATTCTTCTTTATTTTTTTATAAAAATAATCTATAATAAGAAGGAAATTCTAGAATTATTACTAATTAATAAAAATATGTTAATTTTGACATATGAAATGTTTTTATCCCATGTACAATTCGATTATCTTTACTATTTTATTTTTACTATTTTCATTTATAAATAATATATATAATAGATAAACGCACATAAATTCATTACTAAAAATTCTCTTATTATAAATTCAAGTTAACTTACCTTATGATAGTCTATACATAAGTAAATAAATAGTTTTCTATTATAAAATATGTGTACAGCAGTTCAATGTATATCATATTTAAAGGAAAAATGTATAGTATTATGATAGGTAAATGCAAAGATCTATACATGTAAATGATATATACTATGAATGAAATGTGAATTATGCATATTACAAATATATTCATTATATGTATTATTTTTTATTGATAACTCTTTGATTTATCTTTATTTTCCTTAATATATACAATGAATTAATAAGAATTTATAAAATATATACCACAACATACATATGTTTATTATATTATATAAAAATAATATATTATGTTACACAGTATTTATATTTTATTATATTAGAATAAACAATCATAATTATAATTTTTTTTATATATATTTATTACATGTGTAACAACAACATATAATTACCATACTTTACGAGTATTATTTGTTATATGTATAATATAAAAATAAGTTAAACTTAAAATATGTATTAATAAAAAATAATGTAATTACATTTCAACAATGTAAAATTTCATTCTTTGTTAATTTCATATTCAAAGTATTATACAATTATTAAATCATATATATAAAAATATCTAATACCACTATTATTTAACTACTAATACATATGAGCACACAGAAATAATATATTCACACTAAAAAATATTCTTAAGTATGCGCAAGTAGTGGACAAATTTATAGAAGCTAAATGAAATTATCTATAATGTACCTACTAAAATTTTAAGCATTAACATACAAAATATTTTCGATAATATACATATTTTAAAATACTCTTGGTTTTGTAATTATAAATAATAACTTAGAATAAATATATATATATATTTGGAAAAAATAAATATATATAATATTAATTATATATGTTCTCTGGAAAATATATTCCAAAAGTACAAAATTCTTTTTTCAAGAATATATTCATTATATATGTAACACAATTTAGTTATTTTGAAAATAATTTATGTATTATTATTTCACATCATACAAGAGCTTGAAAAAATGCTTATAATACAATGATCCAAGTGTTCTATTTAGTAATGATCCAACTTATAGTAAATGCTATAGACTATTATATTATTTATGCTAAATTAAAGCAAGTTATTTTATAACTGTAAAATATATATATATATTCCATTTTATATTTTAATTAATTCATATCTATATCCCCATAAATATCATAATTTCTATATAAATATAATCAGGAAAAAATAAATGTTAAGAAATATAGACTTGCAGATATAAATGCATTTTTAATTAAAATAGTGAAATCATTATAGTTAGATATATTATCTAATATGTAATATAATGTGCAATATATAAATTATTAAAATGTAAAATACAAATTAAATTTATTCATATAATACTGTTAGATATTTATACAAAAATACTGCGTAAATTTCAAAACTTCACATTTTTAATTTTATTTTGTTTTATTTTTTTAATTATCTATAACTATTCAAGTATATGTACTATAAATACATTTTTTTTATTAACTCAATTATATAATTCTTTGAACTAGTGCTTTAGCACTTGAGGATAAATTATATAATTGTATGAAAAATATAAATATACTCTTCTACGTTTATACGAGTATTTATGTGAATGTCATGAAAACATTGGGTATTATACCTATATATTTTTAAAAAGGTACTTTAGAATCTGTGTTTTGAATAAATTTAAAACATTCTTATCAATTTTTATCATAAGTGACCATGTGCATACACAATATAAATATATTTTCATATATTTAATTTATTTATTGATATATATATCTATTCATATATATAAGAACATATATAGTTATTATTTACGAGTGAAAAAATATATATATATATTTGAAAATCATTTAAATTATAATAATATATATCTATATATATATATTTAGATATATCAAGAACTTTAGGATATTATTTTAAATTTTTTCATTTATAAAATATAAAAATTGTTCTGAATCTATAAGATATATATAAATGAAAAACAATTGTTATATTAATTCATGTAAAAAATGAATAAAGAACATTCTCTTATGTATTACAATGTTTTAAGTTTACATAAATGCTACAGTTGTTTTACAATTCATAAAAATTATGATCAATATATCGTTATACACATGTTCCATCATTTCATGTAGTATGTAAATAAAAAACAAAAAAAGTTATCAAAACTGAGACATATGATTATAATATCTAACATAGTTTTAATATATGCAATAAAATATGTAATTCTTAAAAAAGCAGAAAATACTATTTATAGCATATTAAAATAAAAATTATTATAGATATATATAAATATATAAAGTAGGAAAATTTCCTAGTATGGCTCCATATAATTTATTTTTAACTCAGATTTATTTAATATCTTTTTTTAATTCTTCAATTATTTAATTTCTTTTACTCGTTTTATAAAATAATATATATTTTATATAGTAAGCATAACAGTTATTATAACTTATTTCAAACTTATACATGTATGTGATGATTGTATATAGTACATATTTCCCCTATATATTATTAACATGTTAGTTTTCCCAATTTCCAACAATTTTAAATATAAAATATAAAAAATAAATAAGTGAAAAATAAAAATTATTATAAAAGTATGGAATAATCATAAACGAACATAAAAAATAAATTGATTATCAATTATCTTTAAAAATAAATATATAGGATATATGTGTAAAGTTATCTTCATGCAGATAATGGACTGCTTAATATGATGCAATCATACATAAAGAGTTCCACTAATTTAATAAAATATAATATGTGTTAAAGCAAGAGTGCCATAAATTAAAAAATTTACATAATATTTAGAAATATCATGTGAAACATTTTCTTACGTAAACTGTAATTTTTATTAAAGTTTTATAATAACATTTATTAAAATGAATTACATAATAAATGGTTTCCTTAGAGCAATAGATTATATATTTTTTTTCCCATGTATAACTTTTCATTCTGCTAAAATCTATATATTAATTGAAACTCTAATATGTCTTTAAAAATTTCTTATTTCGTTATTTTTTTTAAATATAGAATATTATTATGTTTTTATTGTTTCATTTTTTTATGTAAAATGAATGATATAATTCACATAGTTATATTTTGTGGTTATAATAATGCAAAGTTACACTTTATATTATAATATATGTTTTAATTATCAAAATTTTTTAGACAAGTAAATTAAGCAAACCCCTGTGTTTTCCGAGTATAACAAAAAATCTTCTCCACTTCTAAATAGACATATGTGTTTTAAGAATTTACTCATTATTTTTCTTCTATAGTATTAACTATGCAAAAACATTTTTATTTTAAAAAACTGTAATAGAAAAAGACATAATAAAAAAGAATAATATGGATCAATATCTGCAATAAATTTAAAGCTAAATTTTTTAAAATATTTCTTAAAAAATATTTATAATTTTATATAATAACATTAATATTACATTAAATAGTATAAAAAACACAAGTATAATTGCTATTATAATGGGAATAGAAACACTAAAAATTGTTTTTATTAGTGATAAATTATTATGCTTATTTTTAAGCACTATTAGATGATAAATGAATATATTTTTCTTTGTATAACTATATACTGAATGAAGAAGTAATATTTTGAATTCTAAGACATTTAGAATAAACATTATTGAATTTATCTTATACAAAATATTCAAAAAGAAATAATACTGAACCTTGGTATATATTAAATCCTAATGATAAACAATAACACATTTGATTCCCAATGTATTTAGCAATGTCATTCACAATACCATCTATATTTTTAGATAACACCATGGATAAATGTCTTTGAAGGTGGTCTAATAAGAAAAGAAAGAATAAATACATCAAATAAGCTTATAATGCATATGAAAATAATTAATGCATTATCATTTATTAATATGAATATTTTCATATATAAAATGTATAATAACATTGTTATAACCATTGTAAAAATTTTAGGGTTTAGTGTACGTAGTTAAAGCCATAATTTAATCTATAGATGATATTTTTTATTAATACTGATTTATTTCTAATTTTTAATGACTATTTTAATTATTTTTGTATTAATCATATTTCAAGTACATTTATTTTTTCTATTTATATATACAAATTTCGTAACACTTAAAAATATATGTAATCTTCGTTCTGTGATTTAAACTTGTGATGGATAAAGAATATTTATTAAATGTTTTAAATTATTTGTAATATATACATTAATATTTGTGATTTATTATTAATAAATTATGGCTTATCTGATCATATATGTTTAAAAATAGAATGTTACGGATATTTCATTAAAATAAATAGATATCTTAAAGCTACATAAAAATATGTATTGTCAATAATATACAGTTTTTATGCATTTTCAACACTTTTAATACCCCTGTGTTTAATGTGGCACATAATATAAATAATTAATAAAAGAATAAGTTAATAATTGCGAGAACTTTATTTTAACGCATAAAAAAATTATCTGCTTTATCATAAGTTATTATTTATGGTATATTTAATTTTTATTATTTTGTCATATATTTAATATATTGTATTATATATAATTATGCAATGACAATATTGGAAATATTACTTTTTTGTTTTTATATATGCTATTCCATACAATATGTACTTTGTTGGATAAACATAAACGAATATAGATATGAACAATTCATTTCCCCCCTTGTGGTTATAATATAAAGAAATTTATACATACAGAGCTCATTTCATACATTGCTTGAAAAAATTATTACAAAGTCCAAATAAATATATATAAATAATGCCTTTTACATATAATATGAACCAACTGTTAAGTATAAAATTTACTTAATTTATATAAATATAAACTTTTTAATATTGTAATGTGTTTATTATAAAAATATATAAGAAAAACGAAACACTCACTTACATAAAACAAGGTCTAGTAACTTCTAAACTTTGTTATACATGTGAATTATAATATTTTTTTAGTGTTTATGATTTCATAATGGTAAATATAAATTGCATTATTAAATTATTTTTGTAATAAATTAAGCATTCTCTTCCAGATTATTGTAAATTTTTTTCATTATAATATCAATATATTATAAAATGATTTCTTCTCTTAATTATAAATTTTATGAATATATTTTTTATAAATAGAGTTAGATTGAGAAGCTTCGTAATTTATTTGTCATTATATTAATTTAACCTTTTAAAAAGTTAATTTATATATTTATAAGGAATTGTATTTGTGCAAAGTTAAATAATTATTAAAAAAATATAACATATTTAGAAATAGATTATACAAGATATTTTTTTATATGCTATTTTTGTACTCTGAGAAATTACAATATAATAAAATAGACATACATTTAACTAATTACATTAACAAATTCAGAAAATATGTATATATACATACAAAAAAAAATATTATAAAAATAAACTTTTTTTTTTATTTTTTCATACATACAGACGTATGATTATATTCTTCCAAAATAAAAAACAGAAAAAAAAAAAAAATTAATAATAGTGTGAATAATTCTTGTTTAAATATATTATGTATAAGAACAGAAATGGCTAACGTTCACAATTATTTATAATAAAAAAAAATTATAAATATAGTTCTTTATGCTCATTCATAATATATAAAATATATTATAATAAATAAATTTAAAGCTTGATGATAAGACAAGGTTGAATAATTAAATAAGTATAATTTCAAAAAAAATTACATCAATATTATTTATAATATTTACATTGCTCTTAGAAATTTTAAAATAAAAAGCATTCATAATGACATCAATTTATATTCTTTTACAATTTATGTAATAATTACTAAATACTTAATCATTATATGATTAAAATATTTTAGTTACTCTAACTCTAATTAGACTTATGAAATCTTTAATTTAGGGAAAACTAAATTAACCTGGAAATTTACCATGTTATATTCATTTATGTTTATAAATTAATAAATTATTCATTCTACATAAATAATTTCAAATAGGATTAAATATATTTAACACTTCTTTATTATGATTTCTAGTTATATTTTAATTATATGTATTCAAAGCTGCATCCATTCTGAATATAATAATTAATTTAAGAATAAGTAATAGATGCTATAGATGTAGAGTATGCTATATTACTATGACAAACAACAATTGCAATACAAATATCATTTACATTCAAATATATGTATTTTTTATAATGCAATAGCATCTATAGACAGTGTGTAAAAAATTTATTATTAGTAGTATAATGCTCAAAAAGATAACAACAAAAAAGTAAAATAATATAAAATATGTATGCTTTCATTTTAATTTTTTTTTTTTTAAATGTTTTTTTATTCACAATAATATTATTCATTGAATTACATAGATTATAATAATTTTTGACGTAATTTAAAACAAAAAAAAGAGTAAAATAAAGAAATTAGAACAAATAAATTCAATAATCTGAGAAGAAAAAATATAACAAAAAGATAATATTGCATAATTTCCGTATTTTTATATATGTATGTAAATACAGATGTAATAACGGTTCTCATAATAATATCATTAATGTACGTGAAAATTATGCCAACTTGATGAAAAGTATAACAAAAATAATAAAAATTGGTATAATATATGATAATTTATTTTTACATAATAAGTAAAAATGTATTTTCTATAATATTATACTATAGAAGAGCGTGGCGTGCTTAGAGTAATTTTGTGACAATTATATTATATTAATGTCACAATATATATGTATTATATGATTCTTATAATATATTATGAAAAATTCAATATTATATTTATTAAAATTTAGAGTGTTGATTCAAAATATTTTATTCATGTAAACTACACTATATATAAACAAAAGACAGCACAATAATTGTTCATAGTTCTTTTATTCATTATTCATATTAAAAACTAATAATATCATGAAAGTTATGTTATCAGATTGACAATTAACATAATTGTTTTTTTCATAATATTTTACGTATTGTTTTATCTTCATATTAACTAATATATATATGAATTCTCCATATAGTATATGTGTATAATTCTGTGACGAACATACATATTATTTAACTTGAAATATATATTTAATCATAATGCATAAAAGAATCATATAATATATTATATCTACTATTCCTTAGTGTACTCTCATATATTTTAGTAAGATGCAATATATTACATTCTTTATAGATACCACGAAATTTATATATTATATTTCTTATTCCACGATGAATGCAAAAATCATATGGTGTGAACTAATACATAAAAAAAAAATCATGCATTAAAAATATAATATTTTTAATATAACATTTTTTCTTTTTTTATTAGATTATATTTAATAATTATTTTATTATAAAGGTATATATAATAACATCAAAATTAACCTTATATATGAGGAAAAATAGCATAGGTATTAGGAATATTAAGATAGTTGGAATTATAAGTTTACCAGAAATATTAGTCCTGGAAGAATTAAGTCTTTGTTTTTGAATTTCGGATGCTGGTAACATTATGTAATTAGAATTATCACAGTCATAAATCAAATTTGGTATACTATTATATAGTTTTTTAACACTTTCTAATGCTTTACAATAAAGGGGATAACCTCTTGATACACATTGTATATTGAGACTCATATATTTATCATAACATTTTTGAGCACAATTGCACTTTTGCTTATTTTTACAAGATTCAAATGTAGAATTATATATATCATTGATCATAGTATTCAAATCGCATATATCTGTAAATATATTTAACTCTTCATCAAATATATTATTCTTGTATTCATCAGTCAGGCGAAAAACAAAACTAATATTATCATATACCTTTATCAATTCTTCATAAAGTATTTTGATAGAGTTACTTTCATTCGTACCTTTTATATGATTCTTATATAGCCAATAATACAAGTATTTGCATCCGAGATTTTGTAATGGGTTATTAGAGTCCGAATATATGCTATATAAATATGACATTATCCTTGGGCATATATTGTTCTTAACATCAGTTTTAAAGTTTTTTACAATGCTTTCACTAATTTTCTCACAATCATTTTCCCAAAATTTTTTATCATTTTCTTCTTTATATTTATCCATAATATTTCTATATTCCGAAAAATATAAATCTAATGATTCATACTGAAAATAAGAAAAAAATAATAGTATTATCAGAGTTTTATAGTGAACTTTTTTTTCATTTATTTTTTTGCAAAAAATTATAAATATATAAACATTGTAATGTTGTAAGTTGTATTGTAATAATAAATGCTAACAATGTTTCCCATCATATTAATTAAAACACAATGCTGAACTTTATGAAGAATATATAATAAAATATATGAACCAAAAATAATATGTTTTTAAATAAAAAGTTATATTATATGAAATATTATATAGTTCCTATTTACTATAAATTTATGATTTATTTAAGAATAAAATGATCTAAATTCATAGGTAGCTTTGTATACAACAAAATGCATTTGCTTAATTATTTTAATGTTAAAATAGAAAATCATAAATGTATTATTAAAAAAAAAAAAAAGTGTCGCTAGATAAAATGTAAAATAAAAATATATAATTTTAATAGCATTTTTATTAAAATAAAAGATGTAAATTGCACACATGGGTTAGACGTTTAATATATCTATAAATTCTTTTCATCTTTAAGTTCTTATACAACTACATACTATTTTTCGCGAAAATTATGGACTACTCAAATATATGTGCTCTATAAAATGACCAATAGTAATTTTATTGCTTCATTATAAAAAAAGATAAATGTTTATTTATAAGAACTATAGTAATTTACCCGAATTTATATGAAAACAATAGCATCATTTTATTGCTGATTTAGTAATTTAGAAAAATTTTACATTTAGTAATGATGAAAAATAAAAAAAGTTAATATGTATGTATATATTTTTCGTGATGCCTAATCCATATTTTATTGATGGATTTATTTTATAACAAAGGATATTTTTAAGTATAAAGAAATATAATTTCAACATATATATTCCATATGATATATTTCATTATAATTATACAATAAACATATAAAATTACGGTATTTATAAAATTTTAACAAATGTTCTATTAATAATGCTATGTAGTAACTCTCTATTCCATAAAATATAAAATTTAGAATATTGTAAATATTCTTATAACTCATATTTTTCCTTATAAAAAATAAACTAGTTATTATAAAAAAATTTATATCAGAAATTTTACTTCTTTATTTTTTTAGCATTATAACCATTAAAATTATATATACTACATATTACAAGAAGAAATACTATAGAACATAAATAAAATAATACTTATATAAATAGTCTATTTTATATATAAGAACTATTATAGGAAGTATGTTTTCAGCAATTTGTTGAGCATTGTTTAATTTATTATTACAACTTCCGCTTCAAATAATGACATAACTTATTTATTCAATATTGAAAATATATATATATACTTTATATACATATTTCACATGGCGAAATGTAAAAAGATGAGAAAATTTTATTTTATATAAGGAAATATGTTTAAATTATAATTTTTATTTTTACGAGTTGTAAAATAATATAAATTATATCTTTTCCGTAATTGATTATGTTAATATCACAATATTTTATTAATCGCTCTTAATATTTAAAACTCATTTAGAAGACACTTAATGTATCAATGTATTAATTCTAAAGAATACATATTTCCATTTCACTATGATTTCATTATTCTTACTAATATTATCTAACATAGCTAAGATACTATGTGTACATTGGCATACTTAATACTACAACAATTAATTACGTCTCAAATTTTTTGTAAAAATTTCTAAACATGAACATGTTATATTCTTATAAAGAAATATGATTATATATATAAATATAAATTTTCCATATCTACTCATTAAATTTAATAATAAAAGGAAATAATGCAATGTAAATGTGAAAACTCTTAAAAATATAATATATATAAAAATTTTTCCTTTATAAAGTATATATTCAACAAATTTTTTTTAAAAAAAAAAGGTATTTAGAAAAATATTATGTAACAGAAACAAAGGAAAACAAAATAAAAAAATAAAAAATTAAAGGATATGCACAAAAATATATTATATTCTTTTAAGCAATTATATATATAAAATAATATTTTCTATTATATATTTGTATATATACTAGTTCAAATTAAATTATACATAATAATTTCTTACATTTTTTCATATCACCTTATAAAAAAACTGAATTATCAGATTTATTGGATAATATATTTATACTGTGAATTTTTTTATAAATAATCTTGTACATTTAAATACTCATTATTTTAGGAGTTTTTTTTATTTCTTATTTTCTTACGTACATAAGAAGGAAAAGGTATAATCCAACCATATAAATAAATAATAATAAACATTAATTTATAAAATTTCATATTTTATTAATTTATTAACAAATCTTTTACAAAAGATATTAAGTTATATATATTTATACGTAATTTTTGACTTCGCATTATAATGCATTACTAAGTATTTATTCTTATATTTTAAATTTATTTATAAAGTTTTATTAGCGCCCATTTTTTGCTATTAAAATAATTATAAGCTATATATATTTAGTAAAATATTGTTTTCTTTTTAAAAGGAAATAAAAATTTTCTCTTTTCTTTTTAATAAAATATAATTATTCTTCCATATATACTCAATCCAAAATAAATGCTATCCTTTACTATAACACCTTTCTTTGTTGCATAATTATACAATGGATATATAAATTGTGATCATCCAAAATTTATTTTGGACATGAAATCATTAGTAATAATATTTTTATGCATATAGTAATATATGATATGCATGATAAATATAATATATGTTTACATTGAGTTTTTTTCTTCATTATGTAAACATATATAAATTAATGTAATAAAAATATGTGATATTCATTGAATTTGTTACGAAAATGTTGATTAATATATTTAATATTTTATATTGTAATCATTTTATATACTTATATAACTTAAAAATATATATATATATATATATGTTGTCTTATTGTTTTTTTAGATACCTACATTCAGTGCATTCTGATTAAGCATTATATATATAACTAAAATTTCATGCACAGAGCACCGAAAGAACTAAATAAAAAATATATTATAGAATCAATTATTTTAAATGAATCAAGAAGTATATAACTAATAAATAATACTTTATCATTTGTATTCATCTATAGGCCAACAATTCTTATATGAATAAATAAAAACATGAATAAAAATCATAAATATATGGATGCATGATATACATTGCATTATAATCTATGATAATGTATATATACACCATTATAATTCAATAACAATTATTAATATATGTATTTAATAATTCCAAATATAGATTAAATAATATCACATAATAGAATAGCGTGTTATGTAATGAAATTACCTGGATCCTATATATTCATTTATTATTACAATATATTATTTTGTGTATCTATGACTCTTTTAACATGTGTTATCATTGTTATTCTGTTTATAATATATTATTTCATTACATGAGTATATCTTGTTTGTGCGAACTGTAAAACATGAAAAAATATATGTATCAAGAACACTATTCATTGTATTTTTGTACAATACGTATTCACTTAGGGAATAATATTTTAATAATCCTTCAATTATTCATTTAAAAAATTATTTTATTTTGTTGAAATATTAATATTCATACTTGTTCCTAAAAAAGGTAATGGTTATTTCATTTTTATATGTAATTATTAAGAGTATTATTCTACATGTAATTTCCTTACAATATTTTATTCGTTAGTTATAAAGAATATATTTTTTCAATTATATATTTAATCCTAAAATTATTCTGAGTTATATAATACATTATACCTACTGTTTCTTTATATATTATTGTACATTTCTGGCTGTTGTAATATATGCCATTCTTCATCATTATAATTCCACTTTTTTTATTTTAAATTACTTGTTTTAAATGTTTACCATATGTAGTGAACTAATTCATAAAAAAAAAAAAATTTTTACATTAAAAATATAATTCCTTAAATATAAATTATTTCTTTTTTTTTTTAAGTTATTTAGAATAATAATTTCTATTATAGATATATATAAATTGTATAATAATGTACCTTATTCACAATAAATAAAAGAAGGAATACTATAAATATTGCAGCAATTGTTATTACAAGAGGAACTCCAATATGACTTCTACAATTGGATAATAACTGAGGTATAGTATTTTCTTTAGCAACATTTTTATTTTGTGTATTATATTGATGTTAATAACTTTAAATGCGTAAAAAAAATCACTTTGTTTAAATGATACATCCTTATAATTCACTTTATTAATGCATTCATAAGAATCATACATAACTTTGATTTTATTCAAATCAGGATCAATGATAGGTTTGTCGATATATTTACAAAGTTCCTTGTTTCTCACATAGATTCTATATTCCTTAAGTATTGCCTTATAAATACCTTTTGTATGATGCTTATAAACTTTATCTTTTAGATAATAGCATCGCCAATAAAACAAGTATAAGTAGTCTGCATCTTTGAATTCTACATATTCATCGTTAGAATTTAAAGTATGTATATATGACATAGCTTGGGGGAAGGTACCTTCAACTTCAGAATAAATGTCTACAAATGAGACTTTATTAATTTTAGAAAAAACACTATCTATATTTGCAACATGATTTCCTTCTCGAAGATCGATAATGCAATATTTTAACATATAATATAACATGAATATACATTATATGGCGGCATCTCAGAAAATGTTAAATACTTTTTCAGCTGAACTAATTAAAATAATGTAATTTGATAAAATACATATATCTATTTTTAAAAACAAAGACATATAGTTTATATATATGTTATGAATCCATTTAATGCAGTCATAAATATTATATAAATATATTATGGAAATCACTGATTGTAAATTTTTATACATTTTAAATTATAGTTGTAATTGTATGTATCATATAATATATTTTCTTAATAATGTTAAACAAAAATAAAAAATACAAAATTATTCTTTAGAAATCAAAAAGTAATATGAATTCTTAAAACATAATGCTAAAGTTATCCTCATAATAAAAATTATAAAAATTTTACAAATAATATAAATAAGATAAAAATTATAATATTAATAAGCCTTATAAATTTGAATATATGTATTATTACTTTTCCTTCAGACAGATTTGTATTATTTATAGTAATATATATAATTTTATATATAACTATAAAAGATTAGAATGCACTTGCATAAGTCTCAGTGTTCATTAATTTTAATTTTTTTATTTAAAAATTTTACAAAATCATGATAAAATAAATCATCATTACATATGTAGATTATATAGACGTCCTGTACAGAACATACAAGCATATTTTTAATATTATATTAATTTAAATATTACTTTAATATGAAGTGTAATTTTTCATTACAAATATATATATTTTTATTTAATATATATATATCTATTAACAATGTCCATACTGGATAATAAAT